AGCTAATTTGACCATTGAGTTCAAGACAACCTTCTTTTCAAAATTGAAACTGCACTGAATAACAACTTATATATTTATTATTTACTTTGCAAATATTTTTATTTCATATTATTTTTTAAAGATTTATTTTTATTATTTTTTATTGGAAAGGCGTTTATTTCATATTATTAAGATGATTGTATTGTGCCAAAATTTGGCTGTGTCACTCCTGATCAACACCTGTTAACCCAGATACACACACTCTTTTACTTTCAAAAGAGGCTCCAGCAGGATGACAAATTCAGGCACTTTATTTCTTAGTGCATATATAATTCAGGCACTTTATTTCTACATGCATATATAATCTCAACTACATTTTAAAGACTTTTAAAATTTGTTTTTTTTTAAATATCCCTTCAGCATGCAATCAATACTTGTATGATGAATGAATGAGAAATGAAATGAAGCAACTCACGCTTCATATGTCACTCTCTATTTATGTGGCCCTTCACCTCACGTCCTTATTTGCATCTTTACTACCTGCCTACACTGAATCTGCCTATCCATTTGGTCTTTGATACACTGCCCATTTTGTTTCCAAAATGTTCTATTACTTCTTGTCTGAAACGATTATGTAAACATTTCTTCTAGCTTTTACCTTGGTCAAAAATAATTTGAACAAAACAAAATCAACAAGAAGAAAAAAAGTAAAAAATTCACAACATAAAGTTAAATAACATGCTACTGAATGACCAATGTTGTTTTATGGCTTTTTATTTAAGGGAATGTATAGTAACAGTGTAACAGACACTACCATATTCAGATACAAATATACAATGCAGCCTGCATCTCTACTTTGAAATAAAAGATGGACTCCCAATGAAACTGTTAAATATATCTTGACAATAGGATGTCATTGTTCATACCTACAATGTCAGGATATACTTAAACAGCACAATAACAGACCTATGACTGTTTATGAAGGACCATGCTATTGTACAATATAGGAAAAATCAATGGGGGAAGGGGATTTGAAGAGGGGTTAAGGAAATCCCAGAGCCTGTGGAACTGTATTTTAAAATCCTAAGTAAATAAAATAAAACAAATAATTAACCTGAATAAATCAGAAATGCAAATGAATCAAATAAGCAAAAGTCTATTTTTTTCTAAATTACAATCTGTATTTGAGGATGAAACTTCAGTTACTACTTCACATCTAAACTTATTTATAAAATATACAACTGAAGCATCATTCTGCTGAGTCCTCATTTTTACATGCATGTTTACCAGAGAGAAAATTTCCTAAAATTCTAAAAACCCTAAGCTGATCCACTATATTATGTTTTAGACTTACTTTTTAACTTCATCTTGCTTTTTGAAAAACAAATTATCAACAGGAAACAAATCATTTGACTTCAGCATTGTTGAAAACTGTACTTTGTCATAAATCTGTAAAAAATTGAAAGAATGGTTGATATTTACAAAGAAATAACATTTCTGAACATAGAATATATTAATTTTCTAGAATGTTATGTAAAATGTAACCACAGACTAATTTCCCAGCTTCACCTTCTACAACTTCCTCCAAAGTGCCTTAATATTCAAATACATTATTCTGTTTTCCACTTACTTATTTTTTATACCTGTGTTCCTCTCTTCATACTGCACCAAAACTTAGAATATATTTTCTTCTGTTTTCCATCTGATAAATTCCTACCCATTACTCAAGATATAGCCCAAATGTCTTTCTTTTCTGAAGGCTTTTCTGAATTCCTCCATTTCCCCAAGTCAGAATTAATTAATTACTCTTTTTGGGATTTTTTTCTTTCCTTGTTTTTGAAAGGCAGATTTACAGAGAGAAGGAGAAACAGAAGGAAAGATCTTCTGTCCACTGGTTCACTCCCCAAATAACAGCGATGGCCAGAGTTGGAGCCAGGAGCTTCCTCCTCGTCTTCCAGGGTGAAGCAGGGTCCCAAGGCTTTGGGCCACCCCTCTATTGCTTTCCCAGGCCACAGCAGGAAGCTGGATGGGAAGTAGAATAGCCAGGACATGAACTAGTTGCCCATATGGGATGCCAGCTCTTACAAGGGGAGAATTAGTCAGTTGAAACCTTGTGCCAGGTCCTCCTTTTGCGTCTCAATACTTTGTTCATACCACTAGTTTGGAGTTAGTTTAGTACAATTTATTGTGAATGTGTGCCTTTAACAAAATTAGGTGATTCTATGGAGATCTGCTTCAAAATAAAAGAGGTAGAGGTAAAGGAGTATCAATGAAACAATATTGCCAATGAGATAAAAATTACTAAAACAATATAAATCATATATGGAAGGTCATTATAGTAGTGCTTATTTTTTGCACATTTAAATTTCTCAAAATTAAAAATTAAAAATTATAAGTTTAATACATATATTTTATAATGTTAAGATACAACATGAGTGTATACATATAAATATTTCTTTATAGAAACATAATTTTATCTTTGGAAATATTATCTAGGACAGGTGTTTGGTATATTGCTTGAGATGCTGTTTGGGACGCCCAAATTCCATATTTGAGGTCCTGGTTTCAAGTCCCAGGTTCTATTTCTGATTCCTGCTGCCTGCTAATGCATATCTTGGGAAGCAGCAGATGACGGCTCAAGTACTTGGGTCCCTGCCACACACATGGGAATGGTGGCAGGAGGAGTTCCCAGCTCCTGTCTTCAAAATGACTCAGCACCAGCTGTGAGATTTGGGGGAGAGAACCAGCAAATGAAAGATCCATTCTCCATCTGTGTCTTTGAAACCAAACATAATAAATAAAATAGGAAAAAATTATTTTTAAAAATAAGAATCATACAAATATAAAGAATATAAATGTCCCGCATTGGCCACCTGGAAATACACAAAAACCTAGCACCTACAAGCCGAGGACATAATTTCTGCAGGTACATATTGCTCCCTTCAAATTCAAATTACTTTTCTCTGCACATCAACACTATATCTCAACTTCTTCTAAGTTATGAGACATGATAGAACATTCTGCATAACAAAATGTGAAATCAGATGCACAAATCATAAAGCATAAAACACACTTCTACATCTGTGAATATATAATACACTCCAAATGGGAAATTAGAATCAAAGAAACTATATGAGCGCCATCTCGTGGAGAAATCCTCAATGACTAAGTCAGAGTTTGCTTCCCTTTGAGCGTTCTTAATGATCCAGAACATTGTTTTTTTTTATTTTAGTAATTGGATTTCCCCCTCTCCTACTATTTAGTTACTTTCATTGTCCACAATTTTTTAAATTATTCAGTCACCAGCAAAAAAAGTAAAAAATGAGAGAATTAGTAAGATTGTACAAATTTCAGTCTATAAAAAATCAGAAACCTCAGATAACAGGGTGGGGGCAGAAGCAAGTCATTCAGTAATATGCTATCATAATCTTTCACATCTTTAGTCAATTTAAACAATTTCAGAAGCTGATAGCAATGATATGAAAGTGCTAATTTATGTTTTACAATGTAAAAAAAAGTAACAAAATGCTACCTTACTACCTTTAGAACTGTTTACTTATTATTTTTTATTATTTTTATTTCTTATTATTATAATATGATGATGATATGATACAGTGTTGTAAGCAGAGGGATTCTCCCCTCTCCTGCCATTTTCTCCCCTCCTACCATTTTCCCTCATATCACCACAGTAGTGTAGTCCTTTGTAAAAGTCACAAGTATAACCTGTTATGTAAGTGTATCATGGTATTAAAGAACACAACAACAAAAAGTTTCTAATTTAAAACAAACAACTTTCATATGCTTTACTAACTCAGAATCTAAGTAGAAAATTGTAAGATCAACATTTACATGCTTGAATTGTGTATTCTAAAAGAAACTGAAAAATAAGTCAATAAAATTAGAAATTAGAAATACTTGTTTTGAAAAAAGTTTCATAAACCATTCAAAAACTTCCCATATAAATAAATATTACATAAGTTATTTTTAATTCTACCTGTGGTATCAAAGAGAATATGTTTTGAGCCAAAATAAAAACACTACATAGTTTAGCTCTGATACACCTATGTATAATTTAAAGGCCTTCAACAAAAATTCTCCATCTAATGCTTTCCCTCAAAACACTGCAATTATTGGTGTAATTGTTTATTCTCTTTATCCTCAAGAAGAAGGTGTTTTGCTAATATGTTCTAATAACCCAGATCAGAGCCTGGCACCTAAAAGCTGGACCACAGGAACCCACTGTGGAATAAATGATCAATTTATACAATAAGTTTAAATAAAAACAATTTTCTACTCACTCTGAAGCCCAAAAACTGTACTCCCTCTTCCACCCCTAGCATTTAATGTCCCCCAGCATTTAATGCCCAATTTTAAAACGTGAATTGTTTCTCTAGTTTAGAATTCACGTAATATCACAGAGGTTTTAAATTATTATGAGTTTGGTATTTTCATTATGTAAATGTTTCTAAAAAACCACAGGCCTTAAAAAGGACTTTGCTACATTTCATTATGGGGTTGTGATGTAAGGAGTTACTATGTAACTAAACTTTCGCCTTTCGATTCAGCTTTCCTAAATCTCCATGCTAGGTTGCTCATTACAAGTTTTCATTTCAGCAAGTGACACAAAATTATGCTGCAAAAACACATTATAACCCCAAGTATTTTATTTGTTGATACCTGCTCCATCATAACTCAAAATGGCTAAAATATCTGAATTTTTTTATACCAAATTAATTTGTTGCCTGTGGAACCTTTCCCGATTACACTAAGAACACTTCATTTTCTTGTCTTCTGTATCCTAACTTACTTCATAAATGATTAGATCTACGTGTGTTTCCTACGACCTTCACTCTTAGAAATACCCCTTTCAGGAAACTCGAATATAAATACCTAATGGACCAGACTTCGGCAGGGAAAAGACCAGCTTTCGCTGAAATAATCACCACAAACGACTCTTGGCAATTTGATAAAATGAGGGAATATGGGACCGAGAGGGGAGGGCCCCCAGTCCTCCAGCAGCCATGGGGTCCCCAGACCTCGACGCCCTGCCCGCCGGGCACCGACGACGCCCAGAGATGGCGGGGAGCACAAACCGGCCGGGCCGATTTCCTAGAGACTATCCCAAATCCCAACGAAGCTCCCCAAGCCTCCCAAGTGCACGGCAGGAGCAGTGGGGCCCGAAGCCGTCCTTCCCCGAGCTCAGGCGGCCAGTGCCTCCACCCATGGGCGTCCCTTCTCACCTCAGGCACGCAAGGCTGAGGAAACTGGCTCTGGCGCCGCCAGCACTATGTGAACCGACCCCCGAAGGGCTCCCCCAGTCACCACAGCCCCGAACCGACCCCCGAAGGGGGCTCCCCCAGTCACCACAGCCCGCCAAACGACCCCCGAAGGGTTCCCTCGGCCACCCAGTCACCACAGCCCGCGAGCCAACCCCCGAAGGGCTCCTTCGGCCGCCATAGCCCGCGAAACGACCCCCGAAGGGCTTCCCCAGTCACCACAGCCCGCGAACCGACCCCCGAAGGGGGCTCCCCCAGTCACCACAGCCCGCCAAACGACCCCCGAAGGGTTCCCTCGGCCACCCAGTCACCACAGCCCCGAACCGACCCCGAAGGGCTCCCCCAGTCACCACAGCCCCGGACCGACCCCCGAAGGGCTCCCTCAGTCACCACAGCCCCGGACCGACCCCCGAAGGGCTCCCTCGGCCACCGCAGGCAACGCCAAGGCCCGCCCCGTAGGTCCCACCCGTGCGGGAGTCGGGCCTGCCCCACGCGGCAATGCGCCCAGGCCTCACTGCCTTCTGACTGGAACGCGGCTGAGCCGCGCGGCCGCCAGGGCCTGGGGCCCTCCAGCCACCAGTGTTTGGCGACAGTGGCCTACCCCAGCGAGGCCGACCCCTGCCAGGGCGCCCCGACCGGTCCCGTCTTCCCGCCCCACGCCCCACCTTCTCCGGGGGACCTCCTGGCCGCCAGTCCTCAACACCCCGTGGGCAGCGCCGAGCCGAGCGCCGATTCACCAATCCCATCGAGGACTCCAGCCTGGCTAAGCCAAACTCCAAGCGATGGATCTGGAGGCGCCCACCCGCTCCCTGGTGCCTCGCACCTTTCCTCCAGGACTTTGTTGTTCACTATGACCATGTGTCTGACAGGATACTCTTTGCTAATAAAATCCTCTTAATCCTGAGTGTTAAGGACCTGCCAAGTATTCTTCCCTTACCTAGACTAGCTAACCCTCAAAACGCATACCCCAGTGCAGCCTTTTTATGGAAATTACCCAGGACTAAACCCTACTACTTCTGTTTTATTGTCCGAGATGTGTTTTACGTCTTATAACATTCACATCTTAAAATATTCACGGTCGTCCATGAGCTATTTCCCATTATAAACTTATTTCAGCCATTAAATTTCAGAAACTTGGGCCTGGCACGGCAGCCTAATGGCTAAAGTCCACACCTTGTACACCATAGGATCCCATATAGGCGCTGGTTCTAATCCTGGCAGCTCCACTTCCCATCCAGCTCCCTGCTTGTGGCCTGGGAAAGCAGTCGAGGACGACCCAAAGCCTTGAGAACCTTCACTCATGTGGGAGACCTGGAACAAGCTCCTGGCTCCTGGCTTCAGATTGGCTCAGCTCCAGTCATTGTGGCCACTTGGGGAGTGGATCATTGGATAGAAGATCTGTCTTTCCTCCTCTGTATATCTGACTTTCCAATAAAAATAAAATAAATCTTATAAAAATTCTTCAGAAACTTTAAAAAGTGACATTTAAATTCCCTTAACAAAAGCATGAATTTGCGAAAACAGCAATAATATTTTTCTAATCTGTACATGGGAATAACCATCCAATTGAGTTCTGTTTTCAAGTGTCATGAACAAAATTGTCCTCTGAAGTTTGGCAAGGATTGTTTCTCACAGGAAAACTTTTATGAATGATGGACAGCAGCTAATGAGGCCTTCCTGGAAAAGATACTTAGCTTATCTTTTGGAAACCCCCACCTTCAATTTCGAGGGCACACTGTGTCTGACTGCCCAATTCCTATTAGGTGTTTTTTTTTTTTTCTTAGCAGCTCCACTGTTTGTTAGCTCCAGGATCTTGAAAACCAACCCAATATATTTTCTTCATGTTTCACCCTCTGTGATACTAATTAACTGACCTATTTTGTTGCAAGGGTTAAATAATATCTATGATAGCGGTTGCTCACAGTAACATTATTTCCTTTCATTTTCCCTAGGTTGCAAACTTAGGATAAACCAATTATTATTATTATTAATTTAATGTGGAGGCAAACATTATGACATGTGGGTGGGGGCCCCACCCAGGATACCTGCATCTCATACTGAAATATAAGTTTAAGTTCCAGCTACTCTGCTTCACACACGGGAGACAGGAACCCAGTTATTGAGCCGCCATCACTGTCTCCCATGGCCTGCATTAGCAAGAAGCCGCAGTCAAGCTGGAGCCCCAAGCCAAACTCAAATAATAAATTCATCGAGTCTTCTGGGAAGAAGAATAATTGACCTCATAAATATGCAGATTGGGCTGGATTACCATTCCTCTGAAAGGTACTGAATCCGTTTATTAACTAGAAAGAAATATCAAAAGGATGTGTTTTTATGAACTGTGTGTTTTTAGTGTGTTGAAATGCCTATTTTAAAATGTAATCTACAATAATGTGGTGAGTGAAGATGAAACTTTTTGGAGACAATTAGCTCATGAAACTGGGCTCGTACATGGGCTCATATATAGACTCACTGCCCACATATGAAGAGACCAGAGCATTAGCTCAGTCTTTTGTTCTACATCAGCCATCTGCCAGCCAGGTGCAGACAGGTGTGCCTGCACCATGATTGTGGACTTCTCGGCCTCTGGAACTAACAGGACTAAATGCTTGTTGCTAAGCCATCCAATCTGTGGTTATCTGTTATGGTAGCCTTAACTAAGACACTTACATGATAAACGATGGAAGTCAGAAACAGGCTGATGGAGAGATTTTCTCTGCCAACACACAGTGGTAAATGGCTGTCATGCTTATAAATAAAAGTTTTAATGTATTCATATATTCAAGGATGAAGGAGCAATTCTTAAAAAAAAAAAAGACATTTTTATTGGAAAGGCAGATAAGGCAGATTACAGAGAGAAAGAGAAAGATTTCTGTCTGCTGATTCATTCCCCAAGTGGCTACAACATCCAAACCTGAAACCAGGAGACAGGAGCTTCCTCTGTGTCTCCCACATGGGTGCAGGGTCCCAAGGCCGTGGGCCAGCCTCCACTGCTTTCCCAGGGCACAGGCAGGGAGCTGGATGGGAAGTGGAGCAGCCAGACATGAACTGGTGCCCTTTTGGATTCTAGTGCTTGCAAGGGTAGGATGTAGCCACTAATACATCATGCTGGACCTGAAAGGGCAATTCTATCGACCCTTGCTTTTTTCCTAAAATAAGACAAATATGAAAGCTTAAACTTTCAAAAAGAAATATCAGGATAGTTATGGAATTACCAAAATCTTGCAGAAAAAGGTGTGTTGGATTTTAGTAAGCTGCCACATCTCTCAAGAAAATACATTTTTCTAAATATTTATTTATTTATTTTTATTGGAAAGGCAGATTTACAGAGAGAAAGAGAGACAAAGATCTTCTATCCTGTTTCATCCCCTAGACGACCTCAATGGCCAAAGCTGAGCTGAGCTGATCTGAAACCCAGAGCCAGGAGCTTCTTCTCCATCCCTTAAGTGGGTCTCAAGGCTTTGGTTCATTACTCACTGCTTTCCCAGGCCCTAAGCAGGAAGCTGGATGGGAAGCAGAGCAACCAGACACGAACCTGCACCAATCTTGGATGCCAGCTCTTGCAGGCAAATGATTAGCCAATTGAGACACTGGGCCAAACTCCAAGAATATATTTCAGTCCTGGAGCTGGCCTTGTGGCATAGCTGGGCAAGGTCTTCTGTGCTGCTGGAATCCCATGTGGGTGACAATGTGTGTTCTAGTTACTCCACTTCCAATCCAGCTCTCTGCTAATGACCTGAAAAGCAGTGGAAGAAGGCCTATGAGTTTGGGCCCATACTACCCAAGTGGAAGACCAAGTGAAGCTCCTGGCAAATGTCATCTGGGAAGTGAACTAGCAGATAGAAGATCCTTCTCCGTTTCTCTGCAACTGACTTTCAAGTAAATAATATTTTTAAAAAGGAAACATTTCAATCTGAAAAACTTATTTCACAACCAATGCACCAATGTTATCACCATCCTGCAAATTAATAACGTGATTGATGTTTGAAATTAAAAAGTTGTCCAGATCACCTTCTAAGCAAGCAGTCCTGTTAGTGCACTCCTATGAAAACAGGAAGATTAAATAAAACAACTGTTTATACCCTCTGGAAATGACTCTAAATGGCAAACAGCTAGGGGAGAAAACATCTCTTTGAGAGAAGCCTACAAAAATTCTCCAAGAGTCTGTGAAGATTGCTTTCTCCCTGCTCCCTCTCAGCTCAGTAAGGTGTAGAGTCCATTCCAACGACAGTGTCCAGGAACACAGAGCTCCTACCCAGAGTGCTGGCTGGCTAACTTCTGGATGTAATGAAATATACATATTATAATCTTTATAACTAAGTCTAGAATTCAGCAGCATTAAGCACATTCACAATATGTATAACTGTCATCATGATTCATATTCAAAACGTAATCATCCCCCAACACAAACTTAGTAGCTATTAAGCCAATCTCATCCTATTCTCTTCTTGTACCTCCTGATAACCTACTCTACTGTCTATGAATTGCTTACTTTAAGAATGTCATATAAATGGAATCATATGTATATATATCTCTGACTTATTTTTCTTAGCATAATGTTTTCAGGGTTCATCCTTACTACAGCGTGTATCAGAAATTCATTCATTTTTAAGGTTGAATAACTTTCCATTGTGTATGTGTGCTACATTATGCTTACACATTTGTTATGCTGATCCTTGGGCATTTAAATTATTATTATTTTTTTTGGCTGTTATGAGCACTAGTCTAAAAATACCAATCTTGCTTTTTAAATTTTGCTTCTTGGATAAATATACATATTTAGAAATGGGATTGCTGGTCTCATAGAATTTCTGTGTTTAATGTTTTGAAAAATCACCAAACTGATTTCCATATCAGCTGCACTATTTTAATTTCCAGTGACAAAGCATGAGAGATCCAATTTCACCACATCAAGTCAATATTTATTATTTTCCAGTTTTAAGGTTATAGCCAACCTAGTTGGTATGAATGGTGTTTCATTGTGGTTTCAGTTTGCATTTTCCTAATGACTAATGATACTTATTATTTTTTTCATGTGCATAATGGTAATTTGAAAATCTTCTTTGGAGAAATGCTTACACAACCCTTTTGCCAGTTTGAGCAGGCTGTAGGAATTCTGCATAATCTCTGGACATTAATCTCCTATCAGATATATAATCTGCAAGTATTTCTCTCCTTCAGTAGGCTTTTTGTTTTCTTGATATTACAATGCACCAAAGTTCTTAATTATGATGAAGTCTGATTCATCTATTTCTGTTTTCTTGCCTATTTGTGAATGTGTGTATGTGTCATATGCATGAAGTCACTGCCAAACATCTTATCATGAAGATTTTATTCCATTTTTTTTTCTGACAGCTTTAGAGTTTCAGTTCTTATGTTTAGATCTATCAGCTATTCGGGGCTTATCCTAGACCAGTACGTTAATCAGTGTAGAATAGTGTTAAACACAGGCTCCATTTCAAACTAAAAGGAAGGAAGATGTAGCTTCCAAGAAGATTGGGAGAGCTTTAAAGACAAATAAATGACTGTTCCATGAGCAACAGTTCTGTCAATAAAACGGACCACGAGTTCTGGCTCATTTGCTCAATTTAAACTTTCCTCTGCTTTGAAATTTTCACTCCTTTAAATGTTGATTAGTTGAAATGATGCTGATGTTAAAATAATGCAGTTTTTAGTTAATGAAATGATCTTGCAATATTATAAAAACCAGCTACAGTCTTGGACAAACTAGAACATGGACAGAATAACGGGAAAAAAAAATCATCAAAAAGCTGAAATGGTGCATTTACTTAGACTGCTTTCCTGGAAGAAG